GGAGCCAGGCTCGTGTACCCTCCCGAGCCGCCAGTACCAGCCAGGAGGGACACGGATCCAATAAACATGTGGTTGCATTCAGCCTCCCCAGGATCCTGTCCACGTCCTCGGGAGCCACAGAGTCAAACTCCTCCCATATAATAGTCTCAAGACCTGCTCCCGCCACCTCCCCCGGGGCCACCCAGTCGGAGTCCAAACCTTCTCGGATCCGAGCGACTTTGTCATGCAGATATTGTGCAAACTCCTCAGCCTTCCCCACCAGGGGGTCCCCCCCCCTCAATTGAAGGAGGGAGCGGGTCACCCTGAAGAGGGAGGCCGGGCGGTTATCTGATGACGCAATGAGGGTGGAGTAGTAATTAGACCTCGCCACCCTCATTGAGTCATCCCATGATATTGAGTCATCCCATGATAGGTTCTGGAGTCCAAAATGTCTTTAGTTTCAAAATGCTGTTCACCCTCAACCATAATAGGTTTAGGTAACGGGGGAGCAGGGGGCCTAAGAGTGGAGGTGACTTCTGGTTTCAGCAAGCTGCAATGGAACACCAGGTGAATTTTCCGTAGATTCTTTGGCAGATCTAATTTGACTGTTAACTGGGTTAATGATACGTGTAATTGGGAAAGGTCCAACATACTTAGGTCCTAACTTTTTTGAGGGTTGTAACGATTTTAAATATTTAGTGGAAAGAAATACACGCTCGCCGACTTTGAAAAGTTTTTGTTCCATCCTCTTTTTATCCGCTTGCAGTTTGTAGGTCTCTCTGGCCTCATCGAGTGCTTTATGAACAACCAGCCAGGTATTTTGTAATTGCTTAATCCAATCTTTGAGCGATGGGATTTCGGGCTCTTTAGTGGGGAGTTCTGGAATGGCCATAAATGTTTGGCCATTGGCAACTTGGAAAGGAATAAACCCAGTACTGGAATGTACTGCATTGTTGTAGGCAATTGCTGGTCTGGGTCTGGATGCTTCAGGACAGTCTCCATGGAGAATAATTTTAAAGTTTTTCAAATGCTGCTTGACATTCTCCTGTCCATTTTAATGGCCGGCTAGGTTTTAGTTTATTCCCCCTTTGGTTTTTAACAGATTGGTGATATGGAGGGCAGTCTGAGCAAACGATGGAATGAATTGTCTATAAAAATTGGCAAACCCCAGGAAACTTTGGAGTTGTTTCCTGGTTCTTGGGGTAGCCCAATCCAGCACTGCTTTCACCTTTCGTGGATCCATCTCTACCCCCTTATGGGATATGCGATACCCCAGGTAATCAATACGCTCTTTGTGAAATTCACACTTAGATAGCTTGGCGAACAGTTTTGCAGAGCGTAATTTTTTCAAAACAGTTCTGACCAATTTAATGTGTTCATCTTTCACTTCAGTGTAGATGAGGATATCATCCAAGTAGACCAGAACCCCTTTATACAGGTGCTCCCTCAACACATCATTTATCAATTGCATAAAGACGGCAGGCACCCCCTGCAGTCCAAATGGAAGTACTTTGAATTGGAAATATCCTAATGGGCAGTTAAAAGCCATTTTCCATTCATCTTTCTTTCTAATCCTTATGCAGTAGTAAGCTTCCCTCAGATCCAGTTTTGAGAAGATTTTCCCTTTTGACAGGTATGCTAACATGTCCTTCATTAAAGGTAGGAGATACATGTTCTCCACACACACAGCGTTGAGACTTTGATAGTCCACGCAGAGACGAAGAGATCCATCTTTCTTTTCCCTAAACAGGACTGGGGCAGCTACTTGAGGTTTAGCTGGCTCAATAAAACCCCTTTGTAAATTTTTTCTTATAAACTTTTCCAGTTCATTCAATTCTCTAGGAGCCATTGAGTACATTTTAGGTTTTGGTAGCTTCACCCCTGGGATGACCTCAATAGCACAGTCTGTGGGGCGGTGAGGGGGGAGTTCATCCGCCTTCTATTCACTGAATGCCTCAGCTAAATCTCGGATAGCTGCCCCAGTCCTGTTTAGGGAAAAGAAAGATGGATCTCTTCGTCTCTACATGGACTATCGAAGTCAAAATTTGGGGAAAGTGTATAGAATGTGCAGATATTGTGAACCGATGGACTTCACAGACCTTTTTGTCAATTTCCTGCATGAGTTCATTGCTGACTGCAGATGGGTGGCCACTTCTTGCCTCATCGTGCAGGTCAGTTCGTCCATCGTTAAACATGCAACACAATTAACGTACGACATCAGTCATCATGTTTGGTCCATAAACATTAGACATTTCGCAATGAATCACAGCTGCCAAAAGTCTTTTCGCACACAGAAATCGTATTACTGCACGCACTTCACATTTGGCGGGATTTTTGTAGCAGGGTTCATTTTCAACTGCAACAACTGCAGCACAATCTTCTCCTTCCACTCCTCACTGTCTACTGAACTACTGCGCACAGTGCCATAGGATGGGCGTCGCTATCCCCGCCTATTTCTCGTACATTTCTTGCACATGCTCAAACAGGTTCTGTTTCTGAATTGCCCTCGTATTAATTTTTTTTAACGATCCTGTAATCCCTTGCATTGGGGAGGAATCGTGGCAACTGAATGGAGCTGAGCACTAACTGACTGGATGCCCTTCCTGATGCGTACGTGGAGTCACAGCAGATACTTTTTCTTTGTGCCACTATCTAGGATCGAACTCACAGGCCCCTGATTGTGAGGCAAGAGCTCCACATCTAGGCCACCACCCAGCTATTTGCAATCATTGGAGGAAAAACGATTACAAGCATTGGGCTTAAAGTTATTTTTTTCAGTATCATCATATCTTTGAATGCTTGCCAAATAAAGCTGTTGATAGTGATGACTACCTATAGATTTTGTCTGTGTATTTATGCTCAGATTCCCAAGGATACTTACAAACCACCTAGAATGAAGCAGCATCTAGAAAGAATCAGATTGAAGAATCGCCAGAAGGCGGAGGCAAGTTCAGTATTTTAATAATTTATTTACTTCACTATGTTTTGTGGACTTTTTCTATCCATATTTGTTGTATTTTGAAATATCTCTGGTTTCCACGGAATTGCTGAGAAGTCATAATTGTATCATAATTAGCTGCTTGTATTTGAATAATCGATTTTTAAGATTCTGCTCCAGATTCCTATTTATGTAATAGTTGGTTAAACATTTCTGCTACATACTTTTTTGCCGTTCATAAAAAGGCTTAATGTCAACCAAACAAGGAGGCAGTTAGCTGCCAGAATTTCACTTTTGACAGCTAAGACACCAAATTAGGCAAGAAAATGGTATGAGAATGTCTGTCCACTCTAGACGAGTTCATCATCATGGGAATTAGATTTGTTCTCCATGCAGAGAATATGACCTGCAAGTTGGATACTCTTTTGGAGCACATCATCATTATTAATATGGTCGAAATAGTGAATCTTTAGGATTTAGCAAAGCCATGTTTATTGGAAGATATTAAGACTCTTGTTAATACTTGCTGAAACCTTCCAAGTTTCACTGACTTTAATTGCTGCCGGGATTACTATAGAGGTGAACAGAGTTTAAGTTTCAGTGATATTGACAAGGAGGACCAGGTTTTATTCATCTTCTGGAAAACAACTGTTGCTTGTACAATGTGGCACTTAATATCTGTCGTAATGGGCATTTTTTATCTTAATGCAGCAGCTTGATCGTGGGTATAAGTCCTTATCGATAGCAACGTAGACTGTCGGTACATTGTATAAATGTAGGATTTGCCAGAGAGATTCTCGTTGGACCCTATCAAATGCTTTCTTAAAAATGTTAAAGTTAATGCCCAGTGGATACTGATACTCAATGCAGTATTCTATGATATTTTGTAAGGTGAAGATTTGTTTGTGGCCAGACCTTTCATAGCAAAATCCAGCTTGTTCTTTTCTCAGATGTTCGTATGTAGCATTTTGCAGCTGCCTAAGAAAAATTATGTAAAATTTTTTTCCAGGCACTTGGAAGAGGGTAATGCCCTGCCTATTGAGTTGTCAAGGTTCCAACTGACAAACACAACCAAGCGATCACCTTCTAGACATTCCAATCTCTTAATGTAAAACTTTATTGAGTACATCACTTCGGCATTAATGAAAGCAAAACTATCTTTGGCAAGACCCTTCCCAAACCCATATAGTAAAAGCATTGAATTCTCCTTCCCTCTGGGTCAGGTCAAGTAGAAAAATACTGTTATGAAAAAACATCTTTAGGCTTGGCCAGACACCTGGTGTAATGTCCTTCAGTCTCACGGTCTGGGCTTCTTAATCTTTGAAGTCTGCATTCCAAAATCTCTCCCCTTCCCCCAGGTTCGTTGGCAAGCTGAGAAGCAATATTTGTCGCACCAGCAAAACTATGCTTCGAAACTTGTCAGTTATCCGTGGAGATTTTAATAATAGCCCCTCTTCACCACTCCTCTGGAACTATACCAGTTTGCCACATTTTTCAGTTGTCGTCGGTTCTTTTACCATATCCTGGCCGCCATGTTTAAGATCTCATCTAAGCTAGCTGCCTTGTGGTTTTTAAAGCTTCTAATCATCACCTTCTTCAATTATTATTTCACCAGTATTCACCTGAAGCTGTTGTTGTGCGCACTCTTCATTAAAATTTTAGATAGTGGGCGGGTTTGGCTGGTTAAGGGTTTATTGGAAGTATTCAATCCATCTTTTGTTCTGCTCAGCTTGGGTGACCAGAAGCTTCCCATTCTTATCTTTGATCAGTACATTTTGTTAGCAATATAATAAAGAGTTCTGGAATCATTCCGATAGGCTGCTTCTTGTGCCTCAGTGCCTTTCCATTCCAACTGTTCTTTCTTTTCTTTTGGCAGCTTCACCATCTGGTCGAGCTCTGTATATTTTTATTCAATTTTTCCATTTCATCCACATCTTTGGCCTGGTCCCGTTTTAGTTTTATAACTTTCCTTTCACCACTAAGCTTTCATGATCTATTTTGGATCCACTATTCCTTCCATTTTCCTTGCCTTTTCCAATGAAATTTTATTTTGGATGCAGTGTGTATTGATATTTCTGAAGTTGTTCCGGCTGTCTTCTATATCTGCTGCTTCCTTAAGAACACCAAAATGATTTTCTCAGTTCTAAAATGAAAGATTTGACAATAGTGTGGTCCTTGAGCTTCACCATTGCAAATTGTCTTTTTGAGTTGGGCTGTTTTTGTTTTTGAAGGTTACGCTTTATTTGTGCCCTGACAAGATAGTGATCTGATCCAATATCTGCCCTTCTGTATGCTCTTGTATCACAGAGAGACGATCTTCACTTCTGACTAATACAAATAAAATTGATTTCTTTGAAGGTGTGACTGTTTGGTGATTGCCAGGGCATCTTATGGAATCGTCAGTGTTGGAAGTATGTGTTTCCAACACCCAATCCGTTATGTTCACAGAAGCATGTCAGTCGGTCTCTGTTAAATCATTGAGCTGAATTGAAGATGTGTGTGCTCCGATCACATTCTCTAAACTGTGTTCGTCACCTCCCAGCCAGGAATTACAGTAAAATAGCCAATCAGGACCGTTAAGTTATAATTTGGAATGCTGTCAAAAGTATCCTTTAGTTGTCCATAAAATTTGTCATATCATCTGAGTTATCTGTTGGTGCATAAGCTTGTATGCTTTGACATGTCCATGTCCAAAGTGAGCTGTAATTATTCTATCAGTGGCCAGTTTCCAGCCAATGGCTGCCTTTGTTGCTCATTCTCCCAAAACAAGGTAAACCCCATGTTTGTGCTGTTCTTCAGGGCTGCATTTAAGATGGTCTTGCCAATACTATTCATCCATCCATTCTCTATCCACCTGATCTCACCGATGCTTAAGATGTCTAGCTTGTAGTAATCAAGCAGAAGTTGAGCAGATCATCCTATAACCACTGTTTCTTGCAGTGGTTATAATATTTAAAGGAACGGGTTGTTAGCCTGACACCCAAAACTCCTCCTTTCTCATCTGGGCTTGGGACTGGCAATGAGTTAGTTGCCTTAAGCTATAGGAGCATAAATTCCAGTTTAATGTTACGAAAAAAATTCCTAAATTTAGAGCACTTCAGCAATGGAAACAATTGCCAAAATAATTGTGGGCTAGGATCAGATAGGAACCACCTGCCTGGGGTACTTTAATTTGGGGATTTAGCAGGGGATTGGACTTGATGGCTTAATTGGCGCTTTCTATCTTTGAGTCAATGAATCAATGCAAATATAGAAGATAGATAGATAGATAGATAGATAGATAGATAGATAAATAGATAGATAGATAGATAGATAGATAGATAGATAGATAGATAGATAATTTGGTTTTGTACATTAAAGAATAAATACATTTCTGTGCAAAGAAGTAATGGCATTAATCAATTTTTATTACGGTCACAGACCACTATTTAATTAATATAACTAATTTTATGTACTTCTTTATTAACTTTATATGTTCTTTTAGGAACTGCTGCTAGAAGCAAATGTTAATCAATTGAACTGTGCAGCCCCAAAGTTTGATTACAAATGCTCTGTAAGTAAAACAGAAATCAAGAAATGAATGTAACTATGAATAAATGGAAGAAAATAATTTTTAATAGGATTTATTATAATTTTATTGTTTATATAATTTCAAATAATGTTTTGTTGATATTTGATATTGATAATGATTTGCAGCACAGGCTGTGAGCTCATTCTAATTTCACTTTTAATGCTGACACAATTTGAAGTTATGTTTGGTGGTTGCATAGCAACACATAAGCTGTAAGCTGTTGCTTTTATTTATATTTGTAGATTGACAGAAGTCTTGTTAGTTTGCTGATAAAGAAAAGGACTAATCAGTACTAGTAATAATAAGTGTCAATAAATTATGGAAGCTTGTAAATTTTTAATTTTCCTCATGAAAAAAGAGTGAAATTCTGACCTTAAATCTATAATAGTTGTGTAAACTATTAAAGTATTGTTATTCCAAAATTTAACTGTGACATAGACTATAAAAATACTTTAATAATGACTGAATCTTCCCTGACATCAGGCTTTTTTTTGCTGCAGAAGTTTCTAAAATCATATGCAAAACGTGGTAGGTTATGCAAAATGCATATCTCAAGGGTGCTTTTCACTTTCTTTGCTTTTTCCTTTGTTTTTTCCCCCAAAGTTCAGTTGCCTTTTGAAAAGCACCTTTGAGACACACATGACCTGGATGACTGACAATCTCCATGAACAATAAAATGCATAATTTGATTTTGAAGTATGCTTTTCTAAAATAGAATAAGTTATATAATAAAACTACAATAATTTTTACCTATAGATGAATGAAATCCCAAACCCTGAAAAATTTGAGGCTCAGAAGATCAAGTTCAAGGTGAGAAGCAGCTCTGGGTAGCCTAATCTTTTAAACTGGTGAGATTCAAAAAATTAAATTGAAATTAGTTTAAAACCAGCAGGCATCTTTTTGGTGACCAAGGGCTTCCTTAAACATTTCTGATGGCAGCAAAATATATAAAGGAGCAGATTTGGGAATGTTTTTATTTTTTTCTTGTGATACACCTGATTCCTGCATTTTCTGTTAGTTATCAGTTTTCACCAAAGAAATTTTTTCAACTTTGATGAAAATGATATTTCTGAGAGTCAAAAACTTGGCTGAACAAGAACCTGGCTGTTCTTGAAAAATAGGCAGATAGCATCAGATCTAATTAATACTTGGAAAACCCATCCTAGGCTGTGGGCTGTCTTGGGAAGTAAAAAATACTCCTGAAGATAGTAGTGACAAACCACATTAATATGGTTTGCTACCATGAAAACACAATGGCATGTGCCTTAAAATAGGATTTTGTTTTGTTTCTTAAATATTTTTTCAAGCCATCCTGACATTTTCTTGTTTCAGTTCTGAATGTACATAATTAGAAAATGATCAGTATAATACAGGTAGTCCTCGACTTATAACTGTTCATTTAGTGACCATTCAAATTTACAATGTCACTAAACTAAAGAGGGAGTCAAGCTATTCTCCAAAGCGCCTGAAGGAGAGAAGCAACCTAGAACTAAGGAGAAATTCCTGACAGTGAGAACAATTAACCAGTGGAACAACCTGCCTCCAGAAGCGGTGAATGCCCCAACACTGGAAGTTTTTAAGAAGAGACTGGACAGCCATTTGTCCGAAAAGGTGTAGGGTTTCCTGCTTGAGCAGGGGGTTGGACTAGATGACCTCCAAGGTCCCTTCCAACTGTATTGTTGTTGTTGTTATTATTATTATTATTATTATTATTATTATTATTATTATTATTATTAACAAAGTGACTTATGACCATTTTCATACGGCCATTGTAGCATCCCCATAGTCACATGATCTAAATTCAGAGGCTTGGCAACTGACTCATATTTATGACGGTTGCAGTGTTCTGGGGTCAAGTGATCCGTTTGCAAACTTCTGCTAAGGAAAGTCAGTGGGGAAACCAGATTCAGTTAACAAACATGTTACTAACTTAACAACTGCAGTGATTCAGTGGCAAGAAAGGGCAAAATGAATGTCTCGCTTAGGAACATAAATTTTGGGCTCAGCTGTGGTCGTAAGTTGAGGACTACCTGTATTTAGAGCTGCTGATCAGTGAAAACATTTTAGTATTATTTATAATAAAGCAGGTTTTTTAGTTAGGCATAATGCAGTCTTAATATTGTGTGCCAGTTACAGTATTCAGCTGCTGTATGTTGTATGTATTGAAGCTTCTAAACATTCTTCAGAGACATCCCCATATAGAATATATTATAGGAAGCTAAACATAATGTAACCAAGGCATGAAGATAGGCTTTAAGTTAGAACAATCAGAAAAGATGACAACTAGCACATTAAGCATAATGAGGCAACTATTTATTCCACTATCACTATCACCACTTGTTCAAAATCATACAGTGCTAGTGAGAATCTTTGAAAAAATTGCTGGAATTTTTACATGCAATTGTTAAAATTGTTTAATCATGCTTAAAAACATACTTGCCTGTTTACCTCAGAATTTCCTATTGTGTTTTTTGTTCACACTTTATCCTAAACTGGAATAAGAATTGTGAAGTTAATTGTGAAGACCATTATTTCAGTCAATTGATTTCTTGGCTAGCCCATCTTTCTTTAATTTTCTTTATCAGTCCATCTCTTCTAGGATTATATAGGAGGAAAATGCACTAATTATATCAGCTCATTTTGTCCATCTAAGAAGAGTTAGTATTTGAAAGGTCAATGTGCTTTAAATCAATCTACATTGTCCTTTGTGGGTTGGAGGAAGCTTTCTATGATAACACTGTGAAAGGCTCATAAATTTGTCTTTTGATGGGTACTTTTAAGGATGGGTAGAGATCCTTAAGAAACAAACATTTCTTATCCCTGCTTTAAACCTTCATGGCTCAGAAAATGCCTCAAAATAGCTATTTTGGAGGGCTTTGAGGGTCTCTGAATGAACTTTGGGATGTAGAGATGATGGAAATCCTTTGTCCCCCAGAGGCTTCCCACTTTGTTTTCACTCTTAAAACCACGGGAGAAATTGTTTGTTTGTTTGTTTACAAGATGTATAAGGCTACCCAAGTCACAGTGCTGTACTGCTATACAGTGCAAAAATAAACAAACATCCCACTCGAAATCAAAACAAAACATGTATAATATATAAATAGAAAATGGTGACCAAGCAATATAACAAAACAGCCAAAAGGGGATTTTCAGGCAATTGGACTCTAGTGCTTGAGGGAAAAGCCAAAAAAAAAAACAACCCAGGAAGGAAGCAAGCAAGCAAGCTAAGATACATATAGAGAAAAAAAGAAAAAATATAGAAAATACCAAGGAGATATTCTGCAATGTCACCCTTTTGACAACTATTTACCACCAAATTTTAAAAGAAGGAACTAGGGATGCTGCAAATGACTGAAGTTTACGGAACCATAACCTAAGTAAATATACTTTCTTTCCTGACCATTTGTATCATTCTATGTGGAAATGAAATGTAAAGGAGAAGTGTATACCTCACTGTTCATCAGCCAATGAATTAATGGAAGAGGGATTCATGAGCCAAATCATGGCCTATTATTTTTATTAATGTTAGTTTACTTTAAACCACTAACAATAGGATCTTAGAAATACCTTATTAGAAATAAGATCCACTTATTTTCATGTTACTTATTTTAGAAATATAAGATTTGATTGTAGGCTAAATGTGAAGCAAAACATTTTTGGGAAGTAATATATCTTAATATATTTTGATTGTCAATCATACTTGGGACCTTTTTCTTTTAAAAAATATTCCTGTCACTGTAATAAATTATCAGAAGGAATTTAGTATTGCATAATGAACTCTTAATTAATTAACAACATAATTATATTCTTCATTTCTGCAATTGTAATTTAATACATAAGTTGAGGATATGCCATTGATGAAAATAGAAACAGATTTTACATTGGATACTATGCATTTATCAACTACCTATTAACTACTTAAAGAAACCTAAATAGCCATTTAAAAATGTAGTTAGGGAATATGATACTGCTATATCAGTTATAGATTGTTCAAGATTTCTCTTTTACAGTTTTGCTTCTAAAAATATTCATGCATTAATTTATTCAACAGACTGACAATACTCCCGTTAGGCTAAATGCAGCAGCAATCTTAAGAGAAGGTGTTCTGTACCAAAGAAAAGTGGAACAGGAGCTTAAGAGGTACTTAACCTGTGTCTGATTTTGATAGTGTTTTTATTGTCTTCTAAAGGAAATTAAGATACTATCTGTTGTTTATTACAATTATTCTCTTCTCTTTCAAAACTGAAAAGATTCCAAGGATTATTAATAAAGGTATTTTCAGTTATCCTAGATGAGGAGAGTCAGTTTGGTGTACAGGTAGTCCTCTACAACAGTTTGTTTACTTTTAATTCTTTTAAAAAGTTTCAACATGTAAAGAACAAGTACCCCACTGCTTACATCTCTCTGTGTAGATGTAATTCCATTAAAGACGACACTTTGGGTGCGGTTTGTTAGCCAGTTACAAATTCATCTGATGGTGATGCTGTCTATTTCACCCTTTTTTTAGTTTACCAAGAAGTAATCTACTTTGTGGTCTACTTTGTCAAATTCCTTACTGAAATCCTGGTATACTATGTCCAGCATTTTGCTGGTCCACTAATTAATCACTTTGTCAAATTGGAAATAAGATTTGTTTGGCATTATCTGCTTTTGACAAACCCATGTTGGCTTCTTGTTATACTTTTGCTTGCTTCTAGGTGCTAGGTAAAAAAAAGCTTATTTCTCAACCTAAAAGAGGCGCAAACAACTTACCTAGGGGTTACCCTTAGGGCAGTGGTGGCGAACCTATGGCACGCATGCCAGAGGCGGCACTCAGAGCCCTCTCTGGGCACACACGCCGTTGCCCCAGCAGAGTTCACCAGAGTAGTGAGCACATGGCGTTTGGAAGTGACAGGGCAGGAAGTGAGCAAGCAAGCAAGCAGCGTTGGCCCCCCGGGATGCCCTGGAGATGGCGAGGGACTGGCCCCGGCCATACTCACCCAGTCTGCCGTGATCACTGCAGCCACGCCCACCCAGTGGGCCACCCCCCCCGAGGGCACCACAATTCTGATGCAACCCTGGCATTTTGCGATAAATAAGTGGGTTTTGGGTTGCAGTTTGGGCACTCGGTCTCTAAAAGGTTCGCCATCACTGCCTTAGGGTGTTTGGTTAACATTTATCTAGGAAAAAAGCTGGAAATGCCAGGGAAACGAGACAAAAGGGAACTGAGCCAAAGACCAAAGGCCTCCCCTTATAGCTATTCTAGCCTTCACATAAGACAGCAGTATTTGAGCTGTACTGTTTCCCTTCAAATAACCTATTTTAATTTTTATTATAGAATTGAACATCTTCTCCAAGGAGCACAGGATCCATCAAAATTTCTAGAATGGCAAAAACAAATGCGTGGGAAAGATTTGGACCAACAGTTGACAGAAGCAGAATGTAAAAAACTGCAAGGAAAGCTAAGCTATGAGGATGCTATTTTAGCACGCCAGTACTGCATTCAGGAAAAGAAAAAAATTGCTGAGCAGAAGAGAGAAGAGGTACTGAGTGTTTTATATGGGTTTGAGTTGCGCATGTGAGTTATATTATAGATACATTATTAAATTATAGATACATACATTTGGCAGAAAAAGGAGTTTAAGTAGATTCTTGAGGTATGCAGGAAAACTAATGCTTTTCATAAAAAAAACCTTTCCTCTTTTTCAATCCCAATCCCAAAAGGATCTGTGTGCAAAGATTATAATGCATAAAGCACTTAATGTTTATTATTCAAACTTAGTAACAATAAGAAACCAAATAATCTTCCTCTTCCTATTCACAGTGCCTCTGTTTTGTTAAGATGCAATTTTGATTTATTGTATCTTGTGAAATTTACTGCTGCATCTAGATATGTCTTCATGGCTTGCATATGTTTTGCCTTTTGAGATGATATAGAGAGTTTGGTGTCATCAGTGTATTGATATCTTATTTCAGATCTCCAAATGGTTTTGTGTACATGTTGATCAGCTTTTAATCACTTGCTTTATGAGGGTTTGTTTTATTCCTTTATACTTCCTACCATTGCTGCTCTTTTCAGAACAAATTATTTAGCTAAGATAAAGGATGATGTCTACTAAAAATATAAAATACAAACTACATAAATATTATAGGTGTGGGGAAATGTTTTGTATTTTAGCATTTGTATTTAAGCTGTAAGCTATTGTGAATCTAAGAAGATATTGCAGAATACTAATTTGAGAGAGAGAAAGAGAGAGAGGAGCTCAAAATAGTATACATAATATTTCCTCCTCCAATTTTCCAGAGAGTAATAACATTCTAAGAAAGGAAATACTGAAGACGACTTCATAATTAATTTCAAGGGAGGAATATGGGTGATAACTACAGAAGTGCATGGATGGAAAGTTCTATGATTAATCCAGGCTTAAGAAGATCCATATAGAGATTAAAGAGAAAGATGTAGAAGCAATAAGGAATAGTTAATTATGTTGATCTGAATTTCAGTCCTGGTGACTCTTGGGCAATTTCTATTACTATTCTAAGGAAATTCCAGGAGTCACTTTAATTTTATCCACTCACATTGTCCATTATTTTCCCTTTCTCCTATTGCCCTCAACTATGCTAAGCATATAATTTTTTCTAGTTCAGTTTCAGTTCACATCACTTGCTTAAGGTTTTGAGACAAACAGGCAGCATTTTATCTGGTCCAGAATTGATTGGTTTTCTTCTCAGTCCACTGTACCCTAGTAAACATTTATTATACTAATCCACAAGTTGAAGGTGTTTACCTTTTTTTCTTTTCCTTTTAGTATTCAGCCTTCACAGCAATGGATTATATTGTCCTAATCATCCTAATATTTGTTAGTGTTGTTATCAGTCTCTTCTATAATCTTGTCTAAATGTGTCATTGTTTTCCTTCATAGAAATAATGACATCTTTACTTCTCCAATATATTATTTATTTTATCTATGTTTGAATATCCACCACAAAAGATCTTGAACATTAATGAAATTGTATCGATTAATGAACTGGACATTAAGAGGCATTTAAAAAAAATGGCAAAGATTCAAATAATGAAAAGTTGAAAGATACGAGTATTTTTAGTTGAACTCAGGCAAGAAAAAGCTGAAAGAAAAGCACTCCTTTTATATTGATATATATCTCTGAATTTTTTCAGGCTCTCATATGGAAAATGAACAGCATATAAAGCAAAAGCAACGTAAACCACTCTCCCAGAAAGTTCAAAAATGAAAAAGCTAATCAGAGTTTTAATGTCAAAAATATATTAATGCACTTACTTGGGTTTCTTTTCAGCTCCCTGCAAGTCTTCATGTGCTGCCCACAATAGATTTGCAGAGATAAAATTGTGTTTGTAACTTCCCTTCTAATCATTTTAGCCTTTGAATGTGAAAAATATGGAAGACTATTGTGAAATCATTTAAAATAAACTTTTTTTCTAATTAAACTTAATAGAGTTACATCTATTTGTTTGGATTTTAGACAGCAGAAATGCATCACCAGTGTGCAGAAAGATGCCTTCACGAAAGGAAGGAAAAGGAAAAAAAGGTTCAGCAAGTGTCAGAGGGACATAAAAATGTGAAGCAAGCACAAACGAAACTCCAAAAATGCAAACAGCAAATAGGTATTAATAGTGACAGTTCTATAGACTTTTAACAAAGTTATTTAGCAACGAGAGTATTCATGAACTTGAGAGAAACTATTAAAATGTCCTTTCATAAGCATTCTTCTTGTCGGAGCAGTAGCAAGGAGATCTGGTGGGGGATTTATCATTATCCCCTCTGTCATGGTCAGATCATGCCATAGTGTCCTTGAAATTTTCCAGTGGTGCCCCCTTCCGCAGGGAGGCTGGACATCTTTGAATAATCTATCCTCAGCAACCAATGGACTCCCTCGGGTTCCAGAGTGAGCTGGGGGATGTCCTGGGGGATGTCTGCTGTGGAGGCTTTGGCCACAGCTGGAATCAAACAGCGGCTGAAGTGGTGACAGGATCATACTCATTGTGCCCTCTCTTGGCCCATCTGTCCTGACTCCTCCCCATAGTTCACAGAGTTGCTGAGGATGTTGAAAAGGGCCAAGAGCACCACTGGAGGAAGACCAAGAATGAATCCAATCAATCGTAACTCTACTCTTCCCACACTCCCCTATTAGCTGCTATTCTGTGACTTCCAGCTGTCTTATTTGAGGAGACAAATTAAAATGAGAAAACTGATTGGTTTCAGAGATTGCACTTAAAAGCTTTACCATCACCAATCTATAAGCCTCTGAAAATTTTCTTAAAAACATCTCTTGAATACTTCAGAACTTAAAGCTTTCTAGATAGATTTCATTCTATACAAAATGGACTCCCTCTGCTTCCTGGTGGTGCTTTTAAGCTGTGGAATCTCTAAATGCCCCTAAAAAACAATTAAAGAATCTTCTGCCCTTAGGGTGTCTATAGAAGCCATCTGCAGGAATGGGATGGAATGGAATACAGATCTGCATTTTGGGGTCTATGTTGATGACATTGTTACTGACCATTGATTCAAGTTACAGAGTAGCAAGAGCACTTTGGAAAGGTATTCTCTGCTTACTGAGCTCTCCAATTACCATTTGCACTGGAATTCACTCCATTTGCTAATTATTTCTATATTTATTTATCTTTGGCAATAGATTAGTAAAATTTATATTTTTTTTCTGCTTTTCTAGCTCAAGAGATATCTAAAAAAAGCCAGGACATACTATTTCAGGCTTTAAAAGAGGAAGAAGAGAAATTTAAAAAAAAATATGAACTGATTCAGCAAATAAGAGCTATAGAATACCTGCCATTTCTTAGAAATAGATTTATTGACTTAACCAAGGTAAACTCATAATAAAATATGGATAAACCAACAGTGAAATAGAAAAAGAAGATTTTTGTTTATTATAACTTATGAATCCTATCTTGTTCTAATACCTAACTAAAAATTACAACCTCTAAAATTCCTTCTCCATTAATTTTTCCAGAGGTTTAGAAACTATTGTTACAATGTTAGATAGCATTATAATCTTTATAGTTTTCATTGCTAGAACATGATATGTTAGTTTTTTTGTGAGTACCTTGTTGAGTGTCATTTTTTTATGATAGGAATATGAAATCTGCAGAATCTTGGATATTTTCTGGCAATCCACCTCTCTTAAAATTTTATTCCTGATAATTAAGCTTCCAAATTGTCAGGAAAGAAGATTAAAATAGTGGCTTATTTAGCTCAGCACCATGAATCTTAATCTTAAATAAGATACTTTATTTGTTTGTTTGTTTGTTTGTGTAATTTTAGCTATGCCATCAGTTGAACAAACAAGTGAATAAGTTATACAGCTCTCCCCTGCAAGTCTATATGTCTAAATCTTCGCACCATTCCTTACTTAAAACCAGTTCAAGGCTTAAAGCCAATTTACATTTTATATTTGTTGCAACAAAAGTTCAAGACTTAATCCCCAACAAGAAGAGCAGGAAAGATGGTAATAGTGGAAAGGGATGAGTTGGGGACAGTCCCAAATTCCCGGGATTGCTTTTTTTTTTTTTGTCCAAGTGTGGACTGTAATGTAAATTAAGATATAACAGAAATATGNTGAGGAGACAAATTAAAATGAGAAAACTGATTGGTTTCAGAGATTGCACTTAAAAGCTTTACCATCACCAATCTATAAGCCTCTGAAAATTTTCTTAAAAACATCTCTTGAATACTTCAGAACTTAAAGCTTTCTAGATAGATTTCATTCTATACAAAATGGACTCCCTCTGCTTCCTGGTGGTGCTTTTAAGCTGTGGGATCTCTAAATGCCCCTAAAAAACAATTAAAGAATCTTCTGCCCTTATGGTGTCTATAGAAGCCATCTGCAGGAATGGGATGGAATGGAATACAGATCTGCATTTTGGGGTCTATGTTGATGACATTGTTACTGACCATTGATTCAAGTTGCAGAGTAGCAAGAACACTTTGGAAAGGTATTCTCTGCTTACTGAGTTCTCCAATTACCATTTACACTGGAATTCACTTCATTTGCTAATTATTTCTATATTTATTTATCTTTGGCAATAGATTAGTAAAATTTATATTTTTTTCTGCTTTTCTAGCTCAAGAGATATCTAAAAAAAGCCAGGACATACTACTTCAGGCTTTAAAAGAGGAAGAAGAGAAATTTAAAAAAAAATATGAACTGATTCAGCAAATAAGAGCTATAGAATACCTGCCATTTCTTAGAAATAGATTTATTGACTTAACCAAGGTAAACTCATAATAAAATATGGATAAGCCAACAGTGAAATAGAAAAAGAAGGTTTTTATTATAACTTATGTATCCTATCTTGTTCTAATACCTAATTAAAAATTACAACCTCTAAAATTCCTTCTCCATTAATTTTTCCAGGGGTTTAGAAACCATTGTTACAATGTTAGATAGCATTATAATCTTTATAGTTTTCATTGCTAGAACATGATCTATCTGTTAGTTTTTTGTGAGTACCTTGTTGAGTGTAATTTTTTTATGATAGGAATATGAAATCTGCAGTACCTTGGATATTTTCTGGCAATCCACCTCTCTTAAAATTTTATTCCTGATAATTAAGCTTCCAAATTGTCAGGAAAGAAGATTAAAATAGTGGCTTATTTAGCTCAGCACCATGAATCTTAATCTGTTTTACTAATAAGATACTTTATTTATTTATTTGTTTGTTTGTTTATTTATTTGTGTAATTTCAGCTATACCATCAGTTGAACAAACAAGTGAATAAGTTATACAGCTCTCCCCTGCAAGTCTATATGTCTTTCCTAAATCTTTGCACCATTCCTTACTTAAAACCAGTTCAAGGCTTAAAGCCAATTTACATTTTATATTTGTTGCAACAAAAGTTCAAGACTTAATCCCCAGCAAGAAGAGCAGGAAAGATGGTAATAGTGGAAAGGGATGAGTTGGGGACAGTCCCAAATTCCCGGGATTGCTTTTTTTTTTTTTTGTCCAAGTGTGGACTGTAATGTAAATTAAGATGTAACAGAAATATGGTACTTCTGCTTTTCTTTTCCATAGACTGGTAATCATGGTGTACTGGGTGAAATGTCATTTGTGGAACTTCAAGAACGTTTAACTTTGCTGAAAGAATCTCAGCAAAAAGCAGAAGAAGAGAAAAGGGATCTGATAATCCATGAAAAACATGCTAAGGAACAACTTCTTTTGGATAAGCTGGAACAAATCTGTATGTTCAGAGAACAATTTGGCAGAGCAGCTGCATTAAAGTTAGTTTGAAATATTGTGATATTTATTCAGAGACCACTGTTTAAACAATGCTATTATTTACGATGAACCACATGACATAAAAGTGCGCACTAAATTTATTTCTTTAATAATCTCATAGACAAGGCCAAATGTTGCTCATTGTGGGCTTTGAATGGATTTTCACCAATGTTCTGTGCTTCAGAATAACCAGCATCTGACATACTGTATGTTCACAATTTTTGAAAGAGTATTTCTTTGATATTCTAGCCTTTCATTATATTGTCTGTTATATTTTTAAGGACAGTGCAGGGATTTCATACTTGTGAAAATAGGAAGGATTTTCTACTTAAAGTACAGTGGAGATAAAAAGTCTACACACCTGTTAAAATGCCAGGTTTTTGAAGTGTAAAAAATTAGACCGAGATAAATCATTTCAGATTTTTTTCCACCTTTAATAACAAAGTGTATAATACAGTTGAAAAAATCTGAAATCTGTTAGGTGGAAAATTAACAATAAAAATGTACAATACAGGTAGTCCTTGACTTACGACCACAGTTGAGCCCAAGATTTATGTTGCTAGGTGAAACATTTGTTAAGTGAGTTTTGCCCCATTTTACAACCTTCCTTGTTACCGTTGTTAAGTGAATCACTGCAGTTGTTAAGTTAGGAAGATGGTTGTTAAATGAATCTGGCTTCCCCATTGACTTTGCTTGTCAGAAGGCCACAAAAGCTGATCATATGATTCTGGGACATTGCAACTGTCATAAATATGAAGCAGTTGCAAAGTATCCGAATTGATCATGTGACCAAGGCGATGCTGCAATGGTCGCAAGTGTGAAAAACAATCAAAAACTTTTTCTAATGCCGTTGTAACTTTGAACGATCACTAAATGAACTGTTGTAAGTTGAGGACTACCTGTATCTGAACATCAACAGACACTCTGTGAATTAGTAGTGCTCAGCTTTGGGAATTGGCTTAAGATTCTTGCCACTAATCAGATTGCTGTACAGTTGGAAGTTACGTAACCTGAAAAGTTATCTTAGCTAAAGTAATCTTAGCTAAAGTGTTCCTTACCTATTTATTGCTGGCTTTTTTAAAATAAATATTTTATTAATTTTCTAATTTTACAGTCAAAAACTTAATAAACAATGTGTTGTCTGGGTCCATTAGTAATTCAGTGATATATATTAACGTCTTCAGTCTAGATCCAATATTACATCATCAAATGTTTCCTGTCTTCTTCCGGTAGTACCTGTTTTCCCACACTGGGCAAATACAATTCTTATTGTTATTAATAAATATACAATTGAATATCAACATCTTTGTTACATTTTTCTCATAATATCAATAATGTCAGTTTTAGATAACTTTTCTAACCAAAACATATCTTAATTGCATTTGCACTTAATATCCGTATGTTCAATCAGTATACTATTTTTGCTTTTTAAAAAAAAATTAATTTCCCATCAGTGTTCAAAATATCTCTATTGTGTATAATTTCAAAGTAAGTTATAGTTGGGTAACCAAAAGCTTCCCTTATTCAAACTTCTTAGCATTTTCCTATTACCCTTCTCATACCAAAATCTAATATTCTAATTACGAATCTTATCTTTCTAGTTATGATAATACTTCTAGCAATTATCTATTCTCCACCATATTCAAACATCTAGTTAATAATATAATATCCCATATAATAGATCAAAAACTCTATTTTCTTCAGTCTTACTCTAGCTTTCTTCCTTTGCCAACTAGTTTTCCAAGTCAATGCATTTGAATCATCAAGTAATTTTTCCTCTGTTTTTGTGTATATTGTTTGGAATAAGAAAGACCATTTGGTTAAAGTATTTTTGGAAGAACGAACCCGTTGCTATTCATTAAACAGCCTCCCTCCTTCTCCAGTTCCACACAGTTCTCCTAACAGTTCTATCTTCCATTTAATCAGTTCTTCTTCCTTTTCCTCAAATGTGTTCTGAAGTCTTGATTGGTAAGATGTCTTTTCCATTTCCAATATTATCGCTCTGTCTTCTAGTTCTTCAGTTATCTGAATCTGTCAGTTAGTTCCTTCCTTTAGGTCCTCCACCTTTGAATCTGCTTCCTCTAGTTTTCCTTCTATTTTGCTAGTTTCTAGTTCCTTCTTTGTAATCATGTTCTGGGTTTGTAAATTTAAATTAGAAAATTGTTCTTTTATCTTCTTTGTGTTATTTCTAGTCTCATCACAAGTTAAATAGTCTTTAAGCCAAGTTTCCTTTACGCATAACAAATTGTAGTGCCATAATTCACCACTAGATGTCATTAGCGCTGTTTTCCAGCTTTTTAAATCCAAACTTATATTACAAACTTTTCAAATCTTTTTTTAAAAAAGTCTCAGAAGCACTTTTAGTCCCCAAATTTCAAAGCCATATATGTGTATTAATTCCAAATTAATCTTGTAATTTTCTCTGTTTCCCCCAAGTAATTAGTTCGCTGCTTTTCTTTTCCTGAGGGAATGGGGTGGAAATTCCCCTTCCCTCTCTCATTAGGGAGGGTGCTTTGGGCACTTTTTTCCAGGAAGAAGTCTTAGAGTCATAAAGAAAGGATAGGGTCTCATCCAGTTTCATCCATGTTGCTGAAAAGTTGCTCGTTGGTGCTTATTTTCTTCGGTTGTCAGCAGCTTCTGACTGGATACACGAATGTAGCCAGTCTTTCCCCCACCGGTTTGGAGGGCTTCCTTGGATCAAACAGAAGGGCCGCCGCCCTCCTGCAATCTCCCCTCCTTTCTTGTCGCCTCTATGGGGCGACTTTCGAGCCTTTCCAGGATCCCCAGCGGGGCAAAATCGAACGCGAAAAACAGAGCCTTGTCTTCCTGTGCCTATTCCGCCGCGACAACAAACCGGAAGTCCCACTGCCTTTTTTTTAATGGTGGGAAAAATTAAGAGATTATTATTTTGCCATTGCAACTGATTCAAAAGAAGTATATGAGAGTTCCATTAAGTCTAAGACATTTCTGATGTGCTTTTTGAGGAAATTGGGACTCTGCTAATTTTTCTTATTGTATGTTTTTCTCATTAAATTGTAATTGTTAAATTGTAATTGTTTCTGGGTCACAATAAATTGCACCATTTTTTTTAGACAGGAGGAAAACAAAACAAAGATTCCACTTCGTGAAGCCATTTTAAAAGAGGAACAAGTTTTAGATCTACAGAAAAAAATTATGGAAAAGTCTACTGAACGTAAAATGCAAACTGAATATTTAAAAACTAAATTTCTGAAGTCTAATGAAAAAACCAAGCCATCTTGGAAGTTAGACAAAGTAAGAAAAGGAAAATAACGCTATATTTTGCATTTTATAAAACAATCAGACTGTCTTTGAAGCATGTGTGGAAATTTGAATAATTGTATATTCTTGCTTTACACTTTAAAAAATTAAACATACACACGTTTAATACATTTAATGTATATATCTTAATCATAAAACAAATTTCCATTCGTACCTCATACAAGACTCATGCATGACAAGTTTCAAAAAAGTTTAAAATTTATATAAAACAGCTGATTCAAATGTTAACACATATGTCAATACTTGATTAACATCTGAAAGAGTTGTGTTGTGCAAATTTTAAGTTTTTGAAATTTAAATTTTCAAAGAGAAAAATAATTACTATAATGCCATCATTTCCCAATTTTATTCCACCACTGCTCATCAAAGGCTAAAAAAGCACAGATTGGTGGGGTGGCCATCAAATTCCAACTGCTAGAATGGTGTCACCCCTTCCTTTGCTGTCCTTCAGAGGCGAGTGATGCACATCTTCAAGCCAAGGTGAAGTTGTTAGTGAAGTGGGATTTGTCTAATACCTAGTAGAATGTGAGGAGTGAATTAATTTTGACTTTAAATTGGAACAGTATCTCACCTGCTGATCAAGCAGAGAAGTGCTCAGCTAAACAATGAGGACACTAGCAATTCCAAGCAGCATTGCTTTCTGATAAACAGTGCTTTAATTTTTAAATGCCGACATAGTAACTGCTTAATCTGTTCCAGAATTTTGCCTAAGTTTTCTGTTTTGAAATAACAGCTTTTTTCCCTGTTATTTGAACACAAAACGACAGCACCTTCTCCAATCCTATGTTACCATATCCATTTGCATGAGGAACTTCGGAGAAAGGGATCTGAAATTACATTTGCAAGCTCAGCTTCCCAAGGGACTTAGTGGCATCACTTATTAATTATTTTTGCAGGATGTGTCCACATTACATTGATCTCACTCTCACTTGCGCACAGTCACTCATGCTCTCGTCACCTCTCGCCTGGACTACTGTAATGCTCTCTACATGGGGCTCCCTTTGAGGAGCACCCGGAGACTCCAACTGGTCCAGAATGCGGCCGCGCGGGCGGTGTTGGGAGGGACTCGTCGCTCCCATGTAACACCGCTGCTGCGCGAGCTGCACTGGTTACCAGTGGTCTTCCGGNGGTATATAAATTAAATTATTATTATTATTATTATTATTACTCCAGTGCTTAGTTGTTTCAGTTCAGAAGTGACATTTCATTCTTTTGATACAGAATTTCAAAGGGGTCAATTTAGTGTATGTAATGCTGACGCAAGGAATGACACTGTTGGCAAATGGTTGTACTTTCAGTATCTTAAAAAATAAAAATTCCTGACCCCCTCTGATCCTTCTGATCTGAGGAGTTCAGTCCATGGAAGTTTATTGAAATTGGCTTTCCTGAAAGGGAAAGTGATAAAGCAGTGAGAACAATATGGGGTTTGAAAGATTCAAGCTCTTAACTTTCACTCAAGTACCTAGGAAATAATTATAATACCAGCTACCATGAAGATGAAGAAAGACAAGAGGCCATTTCAGTTTATTGCAATAAAAAAAATCAGGAAAATTTTTAAATAGCTTGATGAAAGGCCACATAAAAGGGATGTGTTTTTGTTGTGTCTTCCCAATCTTTTTCAAGTTTCACTGAGACTTTATACTCAAACCATTATCAGTTTACCTAGGTGCAGGATCTTAGGGATGTATTAAACTTCTCAGGGATGTTGATGGAAATCCTACTGGTGTTACTTGAATAAATTGTGAGGCACCCCAATCACCGTGTGCCATTGCATTCTGGACCAGTTGCGGCATCCGGATGGTCTTCAAGAGCGGCCTCACGTAGAGCATGTTGCAATGATTATTTAACATGTTTGAATTAATATTAGGGTATATTTTGTTTTCACAGAAATCTGAAGGAGAGGATCACTGGAAGAAATTGGAAGAAAGTCGACAACAGCAATTTAAAATGCTTCAGCAAGGTCTTATGTCTAGAGATAATGCTCAAAAAATGGTAACAAATGAAGCTATGAGAACTGGAACCAATGCTTGTATATTAAGAAGTTAGACAAAATTGTTTCTAGATGTCATACTGTTTAGAAGACATTTACTACTAATCTGATTCAATTTTTGATTTCTTGAACTACTTTATACTTTAATATAAAAATAGCTATTAATTGGCAGCTGTTTTTAGTTTATATATGTTGGAACTATAATGCTTTTAACATCTTTAGCTATTATAATGCTAGTTTTCAAAACAAATATATGGTACTTTTTAAATGTTATATTTTTCAAATAAATAAGAGGGAGACAAACATGCATTTTAATATTTTAAAATAGCTTTTTTCATTTAAGCCAAGATAATATTTCAATATGCTATAGTCAAAACTGTCTCAAGTATATCAAAAGCAAATGAGGGGAAATAGTGTTTCAGAGCTTTGCTAAATCTTGAATCTCCTTTAAGAGGGATCAATTTCAGTGGTTTTTACAAAGATTTCTTTTTTTCACCGTTTATATATTTTTATTAGTTTATCAAAATATAAAATACAAAGAAAAATAGAAAACTAGGGGAGAAAGGGAAGGAAAGACAATATAGGGGAGAAAGGGAAAAGAAAGAAAAACACATTGCTTTCAACTCTCTTTAGTACAGTAGACCATAATAACATTACAACCTCAACTTTTTACTTTTACACAATAGTATATACTCGCCATTTCTATAGCAATAAACCTACTTAATCAGCAAAAACAAAATCAGAGTTTCATTTTTTTTCCGTTGCAAGCACAAAATCTGGAAGCACTTTCCAAACAGAAACAAAATTAAATATATTCTCTCCTTTGGATGAAAGTATCAATTTAACCAACGCTGCTCTTCCTTGCTGTGGGAAGTAGTATATGCTTCTATTTACTCATTAATCTTTATCAACTGTCATAATTCATATTTTAAAAAAATTCCCTATGTTATTTCAGATTTTTTTAACCCTAAAGGGAGAAAGCAGTTTTTCTAAGTTTTAAAACAGTAAACTTTTCTTTAAAAGCATTTCTAAAATCTGTAGTTTCTAATACTTTTTTTAACTTTAATTTTTAACTTCTTCTTAACATACATACTTTAAAGTTCACTTTCAATGATATTTTACAGACTTTAAAAATTATTTAAGCATTTTATATATAAAGGGAGAAAGATCATTTTCAAACCCATTTTATAAACCCCAAACAAAGCTACATTGAAGCTTTCTTTCAATTATATATATCACACCAATAAAAGTCTAATTAACTCGAATTAGCTCATTAAATTTAAATCTCTCCCTCAAATTTATCCTCATGGAATAGAATCTTTTTCTTCTCACTAAATATTCTTCTAACCTAACCATTCATATTTTCAAATTTAATGTTTTACAAACTTTGGAAATTATTCAAATGTTATATATCTCCTGCTCACCTGCTGTGGCCCCTGAAGGCAGAGTTTGCCCTGCCAATGTTTTTCATTGCCAACCCACTGGCACCCCAAATGAAGACAGAAGAATGAGGATGGGGCAGAGGAGGTGGTGGAAGGGGAGGCCAGTTCCAGTCAGTACAATTGCCACAGTGAGTTACTCGGAGTGAGCCAGAAGAGGTGGCAACCCAGCAGTGGAAAGCTGGTGGTGGAGAGTGTCTGTAATTACAATTATATCCTAGAGACACCTAATGTTTTAAGTGTTTAAAGAGGAAAATTAAAAACTCTCAAAGTTCACACAGCCTCTGCAAGAATTTCTTACAAAGGGAGAAATAATGTGACATTTTCTGATTAACAGAGTATACAATTTTCTTAAAAATTAGCGCATCTCTAAATCTGGCTGCTACTCTGTTATCCAAGCACAACCTGACATTAGCAACGGTGGAGGGAAGGAAGGATTGGAATGTAAAAGGGAAATTGGGGGAGGAGCCATGCCGGCTTGTGTCAGAAGCTCCAGCCAGCCACCCATCTGGGAACCCCGGGAACTGAGGGGCCATTTCCCAAACAATGTACAAGCATCTAACTGGACATTAACAGATAACAGGGATGGGGGGGAGGGAGGAAAGTTACTTTGTATCATTTGCATGCAAAAAGCCCAGATTCAATTTCGCTATCTCTATAATCTCTTAAGCTTCAGTAATATATAACATATACTTTTGGCAAAAACAAAAGTAGCCTTTCTTTGCTAGATGACCGAGTGAGACGGTTACCAAATCCTTTGTACCTGGAATTGCAGTATTTTCCATTACCTAATAATTGTTCCCTTTTTGCAGTTCTTAAGAGCATGAAAAAAACTGAACATGTTAAATTTCAAGTATTGTATACTTGTTTTAAATAATTTTATTATATTTTTATCAAGCATGCACATAAAAACCAACATAAATTAACAATAAAAAGAAATCAAATAGTAAAAAATGAATAGGGATAGAAAAGTGAATTAAAGAAAAACACAAATGTATAGAAAGAATGACTTCCAACTCTTTCAAGGATATGGAAAACACTTTTGATTCAGATTGTTAGGGGCAATATGCTGACTTGTGAACTGCCCAGAGACTGCTGTAAAGCACTGTGGGGTGATATATAAGTCTAAGTGCTATTTCTATTGCTTTTGATACAATTCTAGCTCAATAATGGGCCATGTTAATGGCAGAAATATTTCCAGCCAGCAAATCGGTCCCAAACGGCACTGTCAAGAATGGATAGTTGTTTGGATAGTGCCACATTAACAGTGAATATCTTCATCCTAAGGGAGAAACCCCCATTTGCCCATATAATCTTTAGTACTAGCTAGACTAGTACATTTTATTATGTGCACTGCCCAGAGTCATTTGTTGAGATGGGGTGTTTACAGAAATCAAATCAATCAGTTAAGTGTATAACATTACTCCAAAGGGGGGGGGGCGGTTATAAAGAACATGATCAAAACGTGAGTTAAGATATTGAATTACTTGCAACATTAACAAATAATAATCCATCCTTTACAAAATGCTCTAGATATTGTCCCATAGATACGAAAAACAATCTTTTAATGGATTAATTTCAGCTTTAATTCATAGGGCATAGGAATGTTTTTCGAAACATGAATCCACTGAGTCCTTTAATAGGACCAGAATTTCCAGTTCTTGATTCTGTGTTTGTTGTAGATCAGGGGTGTCAAACTCGCAATGTCACCTGACGTGTTGCGACGTATTACGACTTTTTCCATTGCTGGCAATGGGGTGGGCACGGTTTTGGCATGACGCATCCGGCCCGTGGGCCGGCAGTTTGACATCCCTGCTGTAGATATTTTAAATTATTCCTTTAACTTTCGACAAAAAAGTAGGTTTGGATTTTGAAATGAATTCTTTAGTATTAATAGCGTATTGGGTATTTTAGAAATTGCTAAAGCATCAAATTCATGTTGAGTGGTCAAGCATGTTTTAACTGGATATATCTCCGTTGTTGCATTGATAGTAAAGAAAATTATGTTTGCAGTTGCTGGAAAGATTTAAAGTAATAATAATTAAGTTCTTAAAATTATATACTTTTACCCCCATGTTCTACCCCCAATTATGCTAGTTATTCATGAGATTTCATATCAAATTTAAACCTATCACCTAACAAGGTCCAAATGTCTTACCATTAGCAAAGTTGGAAATACTAAATTAGTCCAAGTAATCGTACCATCTGCTAAGATTTAAATGGGTATGTACTTTCCAAGTTAGCAATTTGTGGCAGTTAATGGCAATTTCCCCCAAAAAAACAATTATTTTCATTAATTCATCAAAACTTCATTAACAAAAATTGGTACTAAAAAGTAAGCCATGAGATATCTGAAACCAAAGATGTCAGCTTGCCTGCATAGGTACCAGTAACCAATGTCCAAAACAACAGATGAGAACATTATTTGGCCACATTCTAACTGACTTGGGACTGACTTCCAAGAGTCCAGTCATGTAGCTTTTCTGGGCCATTAATTTTGACAAGTGGTATAGTTGTTCCTAATGGAAAATTGGCAAGCAATCAAGGGTGCCAGGCAAGGAACCACTCAGATCTCTTCTGTTATGCTCTGCATTCAGCTCCTTGGAAGAGCCCGTGACCTGCCATCATCTTCTGCTGCCTCCAGCTGCCTCCACTGTTATTCAGCCATGTCTTCTTAGGTGCCTGATTGCTAGTCTCCCCTTGAGGCTAGCATTCATCCAGGGAACCTTGAAGAGGCTCTTCCATCTCTGATACTTCAGAATCTGAGTAGGCCATGATACTATCTGTGGTTTTGTAGCATCCTATTTAGAAACTGTGAAAGAATTCCTGAGTTCTTTATAAACCAAGGTTCAGGGAGGGGGGACACTCCTGTAATTCCTGTCCTTTCTGCATCCCCCTCTCTAATATCTTGCAGGATCCACAAGAGAGACCAGATTGTGGCTCATTTGTCTTAAGTTTTCAGAAAATTGAATATTTTGCCAATATTTTTGCCAACATCTCCCTGAGACCATCACATTTCAGTGCCAACCTGTCACTGCTCCCCCACCTCCTGTGCAATATTTCCAGAGTCTCCCTCTCTTCCTTGCCTCCCTACAGCCATGTTATTAGCTCTATCCAACTGTGATGGTATCCAGGAAATGCCTTGGGAGACAGGGCAAAGAGATTCTGCTTAAGGAATAATCAGATAGGAGACAGCTTCGCATATAAATGGAAAATGGGTGAGGAAATAGGCTTAGCAGGGACCCTTCTAAGGAGAATTGAACATTCAGACTTACAAGACTCTGTTAATGTAGCTTTCCTACAAAGTAGAATTAGGTTACCTGTCTGGTCTAACTGGTAAGGACACCCTTTCTGCCTCAAATTTGCCTCATTTTATTTACGGATACATATAGCCCAAAAGTAAGGTATGTTTCAGTTTGGTGCTGGCTGTTATATAAAAGTTTTGCTCATCTCTAGAAAAGAAATGCATTTGTTCACAGAAATTAGAGCTGAATGCAATAGGAACAGGTTACTTAAGATGTATAGTAAAATTAGAGATAGGCTTGAGAATGAACAGGAGATGAATGGAAGTGGACTAAATACAAAAACAGCCAGTGCAGGAAATATGTATTTCAAGACAGTTTGATTATACAGAGACATTGAACATCATTTCAAGAGAAAGGTGTGATGAGTATGTTAAATAGAGGTGTTGAGATCTAAAAATAGAAAGGTGAGAATCTTGAAAAAAAGACATGTGCATTGTGGAAGTTGTCCAATTTAATCCACTATCCTGTTTTCAACACATATCAGTACATACTGAGGAAGGAAATG